AAATTGCCTTAGACTCAAAAAGTCAACGGCGTGTGTCAGGCACAGGAGGCTGATCACTTGTATATTAGATTAACACGGATCATGAAAGATATACAGAATTCTGAGGCCCAAACCTAAAATGGTTGGAGCGCCACTGATTTATTTTATTTTTATTTACTAAGAATTTAATATTTATCTGTAACCCTAATTTAATTACTAAATACTGACACCAAAACTAATCTTAACTAACCTTTACACATTTAAAGAAAACACTTTTTAACCGGATTAAAGTTATGTATTATTATAAATTTACAATTCACCGTGACCACGCAAATTTAAAATTATGTTAAATTTAATTGTAAATTTATAATAATTCATAACTTTAATCCGGTTAAAAAGTTTTTTCTTTAATCTTAACTATACTAACTTCGAACACAAGTCTGACGCTTATGTTTTAATGATTATTATTATTTACATGTAGTGATATCCTACGTTTATATCTTAGCTTTCAATTGTTATTTCACTGGGAATGAACCTAGAACGAGAGTATGTCAGTACATTTGTAAAGTTAGGTACAGCTTTAGCGAATCGTTTATAAATAACTTATTGTATATTATAACAAAATCAACTCTTTTTAACCAAGTGTTAATTAACAAACAAGCAAAAATAATAATTCGTATTAATTTTGTTTATTACATATCTTGTCATAGCAGCGTTATGTTATATTTTGCCAAACAAGAGTAGATTTTTGTTGTTGTTTGAGGATTTTTAATATCATTAGCCAGACGACTTTTTTTAGTCCTTAATTAAGCTTTTTCCCTCCAATAATTATAATAGTCATTATAATGCCAGTCATTATAATGTCGTCAACTGCCTGCGTATGATTTTTTCCATAAAAAACTTGTTAAAGGCCTAACACTGATAATAACATCATTAAAGTACTATCTTTTGTTTTATTTATTACGTTGAATGCATTTTATTTATTCTTTGTATTATTTTTTGCATACCGTGCGAATATTCTAATGTGCGTTTAAAGCGACAATACATTTTAGTATAGATTCATAATTGAATGAAAGGTGGAGAGAAGATTTAGAAGCGTTAGCAGGAAGCGAATGGAGAAAGAAAGCCAGGGATAGCGAAATTAGGAAATATCTGGAGGAGGCTTTTCCCCGTGAAGGGATTCCAATCAATGGTACTGAAGGAAGCTAGGATAAATAATGATTAACAAAAAAAAGTATATAACATCTTTAAACTGTATATTAAACATTTATGAAGATTGGAAATAAACGGTCTTTGTTATTATTATTATTTTCGTGCTTAAATGAATTAATTTGGAAAAAGTAATCGGTGAAGAAATCGTACATTTCATTATCATCATTAATAATTTAGGGCATCGAGCCCGGGTTTACCCGGACCGAAAAAACCCGGGTTTTCCCGGTTCTGAGGATTACAAAAAAACCCGGGTTTAATTTTTAAAAACTCGGGTTTTTCGGTTTTTTTAATACTTTTGTTATTGTTATTTATTTAGTTTAAGCCACTTCGAATGCAATAATAAGTAAATGGAATAAAAAGACGCTTTGATAAATTGTTCTTTATTACGTAAAAAGTAGCTTCGTTGCTACGTTCCTACCAATAAAACAAGCTTTGCAAGTTAAATTCGCGTTCCGCGCGTCCATCTCAAGACATGAATAGAGTGGCGGAGGATCTGGCTAGTGCAAGCGCTGGGTTCTACACCATCAACGCGTTCGGACCACATCTCGACAAATGGGTGAGGAGGCGATGGGGCCGCCTCAGCTACCGACTCGTGCAGATACTGTCCGGACATGGCTGTTTCGGCAGCTATTTGCACAAGGTAGTCGGGCGTGAGGAGGCACCAACCTGCCACCATTGCGACGCTGGCGTTGTTGATGACGCGCTCCACACCTTAAAGGATTGCCTAGCATGGGAGGTGGAAAGGAGGCCTCTACTGGGCGTGCTACAGGGCGAGGACGCTACTCTCGATAACATTGTGAGAGTAGCAGTTACAAGCTCGGACAGTGACGGCATGTGGGAAATGTTCCAGAGATTCTGTGAAGCCGTCATGCACCATAAGGAAGAGGTGGAGAGGGCCAGGGAGAAGGATCCTGCAGCCCACCCGCGTCGCCGTAGGAGACCACAGCGTCGCCATTGCACCGTGCAACCCTGTGTGTAATCCTGGGCATGCAGTTGCTCCAGCGGGGGAACAGGGGCTCATGCGTCCAAAAGAAGGGAAGCTAACGCATCCCTGCAAGCATTGTACCCGGCCACCCCCAGCTCTATAAAACAGGATGAATTGGCCGATGTGAAAGGCCCTTGCTGTGCGAAGGTCCATTCCACATCATTCGTGGCCGTAGAGGACCGTAATATTAACGGTTGATCGCGTGGCTGGATGCGGACAAGGCTACGCTGTTACCGTGTCCTGCCCCGGGCGATTGCTGGTGGCGCCGTGGGGTTTTAGTGGGTATGCACAACAGCGAGTCCCACATCACCCTTCCCCAGGTCAACCATGCCGCGGGAGGGTATGCGTAACGCATTTCCCCACGGGAAAAAAAAAAAAAAGACATGAATAGAGTGAAGTGTGGAGCAGTGGAGAGGGGAGGGTGTAGCGAAGCTCGTCGCGCGTTGTGCGGGGTGTTGCCGGTGATGATTTTTTTTAATAAAAGCTTTAATGGATTTAAAAACAGATATTGTATTTACTGATGATGACTGGAGAAATAAAGATGAGATCCAAAAATATTGGATGTTATTAAAACTGTCGTCGAGGCGCTATGTCGACGCGATGCAACATTACTTACAGCTGATGTTTCCCTAAAATTTGCATTGACAAAATGGCAACTGCATTTGGCAAACGATACCCAAAAAAAACTAACTCAAACAGCCACACTACAGTACCTACTTGACAAATCCGGGTAAATATTTTGAGAACATTCAAAATGAAGATAAAACTGTTTTATCGGCCTACAGGTAACGATATGCTAAACGAAATTGTTAATCTGATTAAACGCACAACCAAAAAATAAAATATACCTCTTGAAAATTTGCCAGCGCCAGACCAAGACCTACGAGAAATTGACATTCAGTTGTCTACTTTGTCAAATGAAGAGGAACTGAACAGACAGTTAAGTCAAGCTGTTGCTACTGATAATAATGCTCCTGAAACTGGATCAGCTTGTCCATCAGACGATTTGCTTACCTACTACTGTGAGGGTAGAAATAGCACTCTTCGAGAATGGCGGTACGCGACGGCGTGAGCGTTCCTCTCTTTTTTTCTAAAGTGGTCAGATGGTCAGAGGTTATGTCTTAAATAATGTGTCAAATGCATAACTACTTTTTACTTAGTATTTTAGGTAATTATATAAAGACCTAATTATTAAGAAAACGACTGCAATTTAAATTATAGTAGAATAGAAGACTAGAATTATTAGTTACTTAATTGTTAATGCGAAGAAGAGCTTTTTTAATATTAAAATTAATTGTGATACTACAAAAATGTCTTTGAAGATTTTATTTTTATTAGCTTTTAAATACAATAAGTGAATGTTTCCAAAATAATTCATTTAATGTTAAAACTAATCTCTGCAAGTCTGTGATTTAAAAATACTAGATTACTTACTAAGTTTTAAGATATTCTGAAGAAAAAATAAATCTTTATCACTTTTTTAAACATTAAAACAATTTTTGTAATTTGTAAAGTACTGTTTCATTTATTTAAATTCTTCCTCATCCTTTATATTTTGTATTCATTCTAGGAAATCGATATATAAACGCAGATTAGTGCATTTAAAAAAAAATCAATAAAAAGACCGAAATGCTCGAAAAAACCGGGTACCCGGGTTTTGATTACTCTTAGACCCGAAAGCCCGGGTTTTCAAAATTGGACCGAGTTTCGATGCCCTAATTAATATACATTAAGGACCCAAAAAGCTACGAAGTGTCTTGAAGAACCTTTTTTATCTAAATGGTAGATTAGGTATTAAGAATCATCGAAGCATTCAATTCAATTTATTACCATAAAATAACTTTCAAAAGGGTTTAAAAGATACATTACAATTCTGAGCTCAGAATAATAATAACCAGTGGCGCTACAACCTTTTTAGATCTAGGCCTCTTGTGCTTGACAGACGCTGTCGACTTTTTGGGTCTAAAGCAAGCCGATTTCCTCACGATGTTTTCCTTCACGGTTTGAGGGAATGTTAAATTGGTGCACAGCCGGGGCTCAAACTATTACTACTAGGCCAACACTGCTCAGAATACTAAACATAAAACTGTCTGATGATGTTCAATTCGTATAATGTCAGTTCTTATGTAAAGAAAATTGTATATGTAGACAATAAAATTATGTTATTACTTGCTGTTGACTATCCCTACCTATTTCATAATTTTCTATTTGCTGTTCTATTATATCCACTAAATTTTGTAACAGGAGAAAGTAGTATTGTGAAGTATGTAAACAATGAGATATCCTAAAGATTTGTTTATGGGATATTTAAATACTCTACATAAATAAGGAAGGTTTCAGGATGGTTTAGTAATGATTTTCGTAATAGGCAATACCATTTAAAAGTACGTAAAGCACACAAGCACTTGATCTATTGAGCCATGGGGGTTGTCAGCATAAATTTAATTGTTGAGCCCTTTGGAGTAGAGACTCTTGGGCCCTGGGGTTCAAGTGCACAGACGCTAGTTAAATATTTAAGTTGGCGCCTGGTAGATAGTACCCGTGACCCGAGCTGATGCTTTCTCGCTCAACGATTAAGTATCGCATACAGCGAGGTAATGCCAGCGTTAAAGGTACACTGCCACAGGGAGCAAACTTCTTAAATTTGTTTTAATTTTCTTTTTATTATTACTATGTAGGTTAAGAAAATTGTAAATATTGTGTATTGAACTGTTGATTAAAATAATTGAAATAAGCAAAATACAAAAATAAAAAATAATATATTAGTCTTAAAATTATGGCAAGTATAAATAAAAACGTAAACACGGAATCACTGTACGAACACTTAACTAAGTCTTTCTGGCTCTTCATCTACCACAAGGTCGATTTTGACATCGTATGTCCCTGGTTTCGTCTGCGACGGTCTCACAATGACCTTCGGAGCTCCCGGCGTCGCGGACTTGGATGCAATTTCGTTTTCCGCTGCATCAGGTAGGGAGACCTCTGGTTTTATGTAGTAACCGGAGTCTGGCGGTGGTCTAACTGACATTAAGCCTTGCATTCGTTGTACTATGTATTCTAGGACAGGTCCAAAGCGTGATAAACCCTCCGTGGCAAGGATAGAACGATCGATCTCGCTCGGTTGAGGTTTTAGCAAGAACATATTGAAGTTTAGGGTCTTTCGCACCGGTATAGCCCCAGCTGAGATACAGGTGATCAGAACGAGGGCTAATATATATCGTGACATGGTCCTGAAGCGTCCGGCCGGTGCGCTGTGGACCTCAACACTGCGTTCGCTGCGTTTTTGCCGCGCATCTAAGCTAAGATAACGGGTCTTCGCAAAAAGATCATAATTGCCCATTCCAGTTGCCGACTATAATTGCCCGACACCTTTCATTTGGAAAGCTATCTTAATTCGAGTGATTGCAGCCCAAAATAAAATGGTCTGGCGTGATAAAAATAATAAATTGTTTACATTCAAAGATTAGCGTTTGTATTGTTTTCTGGGGGTCAAGTACTGGTGGTTTGTGCGAGGTGCGGTCACTAAAGTCCAGTGTTTCGTTTTAAGGTTAGGCTGATTATGTTTACAGCTATCAATCACATTGATGGGGTTATAATGATACAGTAACAATGTCACGGCATTTGTACATGTTATTTTATAAAAAGAGCAGTGTTGGCCTAGGATTCAGCGTGCGACTCTCATCCCTGAGGTCGTAGGTTCGATCCCCGGCTGTGCAAGAATGGACTTTCTTTCGTAAGGAAACCGGCTTGCCTTAGACTTAAACAGTCGTCGGTGAGTGTTAGGCACAGGAGGCTGATCACCTACTTGCCTATTAGACTGACAAATGATCATAAAAACATATACAGAAATCCGAGAACCTAAAAAGGTTGTAGCGCCACTGATATATTTATTTTTAAATTAATATCATGAATATGACAATTTTAGCTTAAGCACCGGCAACTATTCAATTAAATAATATCTACTAGAAAAATATTACAAATATCTTCCGCAAAGTTAATAAATAAAAATATGAGACGAGATGGATATATTTGGTTGCACTGGCTGAATTCACAAGAATTTTATTCTTGTTTAATTTTTATATCTATTAATAAAATTTCTCATAATAATACTAATACCTACTATAGATATCATATAGATTCGATTCCATAGTAATCTTTATTCCCACAAACCCTTAAGACTCTGAGTTGTTAAGACCGGTTGCCGGTTGGTAGCGAGTTTCTCATAAACTTTCCAGAGAAGGTGCCAGAGTCATTTCCGGAAAAACAAATTGGTTCGAAAATACTTCAGTGGGCTGGTTCCACATAGTGGTTAGCCATAACTGCCTTAAGAAACGCTCAGTTGTGGAATGACGGCCGACGTCGAGGTGATACAAGTGGTATTTCGTATTCTGCCTCGACGTCCGAAGATGAAACTCAGCTGCAGGTATTAATACGTCCAACTCCTCTGAACACTCTCCATGGTAAATCATACTTTTTTTAATATATTTATTGAATGGGGCAATCGGGCAGGAGGCTCATCTGATGTTTAGTGATACCGCCGCCCATGGACACTCTCAATGCCAGATGGCTCGCGAGTGCGTTGCCGGCCTTTAAAATTCTTCTTTTATACGTATCAAACAATATCTTAACACATGTAAAGTACAGCTATTAATTGATGGCATCATCAATAAATTTCTAATCTTAATAATGATTATTCATTTCTTTTTCTCATCACGAGTGAATTTAAACTTTATAGTTTAGAAATAAGGTTCATAATAAGTTATTCAAAAAGTGACGAACGATACAGGAAGACACCCGTTAGCGACCATTTATGGCTTCACGAAGGTTTTATCGTAACGGTTGTCGTTTATGCTTCGACTAGGAGAAATGGAGCATAGTGGGAAGTGACAGAATGTATACACAAAGTAAATAAATAGCAAAAGTAATATATTCCCGTTTTTTTTTTAAATTTCGATATAGTTTTAAAATTTGTATCGTTGATGTTGCAATGTACGAATAGCGCGGTACAAAATTCAACATTGAAGTCATTTGAACTAAGTTTAATTATGAGTAGGATATTTAAATGCTAACAAAACAAGTTCTCAGCGAACTAATGATCCAAAGAAAGCCCTATGCTGTGGAAGTCTCCAAGCCTCTGGTTGAGATAATGATGAATATCAATATCAATATCATAGAAAATAAAGGAATAAATGTTGTGTAAAACCGATTAGGTGAGCCTCCTAACCGATTGCTCTGTTCTATAAAAAAAATTGTTTAATTGTAAAGATTTTTATTTACATAAGTATTAAGTATACAGTATAGAGACACGATATATAATAACTGCAATATTTCCAAATGTGAGATGACCTTATGCCAAAAGTAAGGATTCTATACCACATAGTTTCATGGTCCATTGTTTTAGTAAAACGAACTAATGGATTTAATTAGAATACAATTACAAATTGTCGGTAAGAGCTGTAATGTCATATAACCTTTTTTTTACGATTTTTAATAAATCATTAAAGTTTTGGTCGTTGGTTTGGTAAAGCCTGAGAATTCGCTGGTGGCTCATATTCTTCTTTGGTCTGTTCTCTCATTTGGCTTAATTTCTGACTGTTCTTTGGTTCTGAAAGTATAAATAGGTTATAGTGTTTAATCTAAATCGCGGAACAGATGTTGCTACAATATTAATACTAGTTCCCTCCGTACCCGGAGCGGAATCTTGAATGGCGTGAGTTTTTGTGACCTCATTAACAACATTTACTATTTCAGTAATTTTACATAAAACTATAATGAATTATATATTATATATGGGGGAAATACAGACGGGATACTTTATTTTATAATGTAAAGATACTCTGAAAATTTTACACTGGTAGCCAGAAAATTTTAAACCAGAGGGTTTACGCGAGCAATTTTAAAGCAAACTTCTTTATCGAATATAAACGCGATTTTTAACATTGTTTAGATTTTTATAACTTATCAACATGTAATCTATTTACATTCCGACTTATTAGGACTATTAGGGAGACAATTATAAAAATAAAAACTAAATTCTTACGATTTAAAGCGGCTGTTTGAGCTGGTCCCTCAATGGATACAAATTGGTTTAAACCTGGGGCTTTCTCAACCGGAACAGCCCTGAAAATAAACAATAATTATGTATAACATGTGCGAAGAGTAGCTGGCCCTATGTGGCTATGTAAAGCTAGAAACAGAGAAGAGTGGAGGCCTATGTCCAAGGACAAGCTGTATAACAGAAATCAACCGGCTTGCCGATTAATTCTTAGTATTTCTCATTTTTATGTAGTATAAGTAATTACAGCAATGAAGGCTTTTATTATTATTATGTATTCTTACTGATAAGCTGGATTGGGGTAGGCGAACGTAAATGGTCGTTGAACAGGCGCGGCTCCCAAAAATATGTTAGGGCTTCCTTGATAGCCTGGATTTTGGTACGGCACTTGAGCTACTTGTCCTGATGGATCCAGAAGAAGTGGATTCTGGTATCCTAAAACACATATACAACGCTTAATTCCACTCGGTTTAGTGTTTGCCACTTTTCTCGCTCCCTTTATTGCTCGCTTCTCCAAACAATGTGGTACGAAAACTTGACATTGAAGTCGGGTATTGCTATTGCATAATATGGTAAGGTTCACCCTGGAGAAATGGAGTGATAATTTTACCTTCAATTATTATCATCTGCATCAACACGCACCGAACCAATCAAATGTCTGATGGGTTTAATTTCATTCATGTTATTTAATGTTCGTAATATCATGTTTGGTAGGACTGGGTTCAAATCCAATTTAATATATAAATAACACATTTTATTTGTACCTGGATAAGCGTTATTTCCTTGTGGTGCGGCTGCCACGATGTAAACAGGTTGGTATCCGCCAACTGTTCCGGGTCTATTAAATACAAATTATTTAATAAGTAATTTTTGGGATTACTGGGATTCATTTTACGTCGATTGAAACTTATAAATAAGTAACCTACTGAGTTGAGTTGACTACGATTGAGTGTTCAAAGACAGAAAATTTATTCAAGAAATAAAAATAATGAAGACGCAACATAGTCTTTCGTTGACGGGAATTAGTATTCAATTACATAAAACTTCGGATATAAACGCTAATTTATAATAACTCGGCGTATCGAGTGCTTTTAGAAATTGTGGTCTGCGAGAGACTGTCTCTAAAAAATGAAGACATTCCTTTCTTAGAATTTTGAGGTGCTGTTATTAATTGTAAATTATCTTTATTAAGGTATAATTATGCAACATTATATAAGGATATAATATTTAACATTATACAAGCGAAGAACATTTATAATTAAATTAGATTTACCTAACGCCTGGCACGGGCATGTGAACAATAAACACTCTCTGGCCTGGAATCAAACCAGGAATATTTGGAGCAAGAGGAGTCTGAAAGAAAAATATTTAGATTACAGAGCAAAATGAACAAGAGAACTTTTGCTCAAACTTTTTGACAGGCGTAAAAATGAGAATATTAAGAAATTATAGCGAGTTTGATAGCTACAAACAAATAATATTCTAAGTCATTGATTACAATTTAAATACTGCCATAAATTTTAATTTACAGTGGTGAATTCATTAATCTTAAAGGCTTATGTCATAACAATATACGACTTACCTGTTGCGGAGGCTGCTGTGGCTGCTGTGCTCCGGGGATGAGTTCCACCTCACTGTCAGGGTCCAGGGTCTCCAGTCTTGATGGACTGTCATCAGTGTTTGAAGCCTCTGAAAATTGTAAAAGGAATCATCCAAATGATACAATAACATGCTTCGTAGGTTGTATATCATTAAACGTCTCCCGAACTCAAACAAACAAAACCTATAACTAAAAAAATCCTTTGTCTGTTGAATTTACTAGGAGACACAGAGTTTCTGAGTTGAGAGTCCTTCTTTTTTTAACTGAGGGATTTCATTTCCGCAAACTTGTTATAACAGCTTTAACTATTAAACCCCTCTGCGCGGTCTCCCTGGAGTCGAGATAACATTCTACCAAGAGACCACGTGACTTGCTGCTACAACCACCTTCCATTACATTGACATCGTTTTACAAGTGTTTAGTTACAGTAGGGTTGCAATTTCTTCTTGCACCCAACACGTGATTCGCCGGAATGTTCTCAATAGAATGAAGTGCTTCCTTACATCTTGCAGATTTGTGTCCCACTTTTCCACACCTTTAGGAAATTGCTACGGTCCACAGGGGATGAGCAAGACGCCCGTATGTGCCTAATTAAAAACAAAAATGCGCAGGGGGTGTTTTTAAAAGAACTATCTGTACCAAACTCCATCCAATTATGAAGAGTGCATAATCTTCCTGAATTATTTTTTCTATTGCAACCGGGCATTGTACAAGCACACTTCTTCTGTATTCCCTTTCAATGCCTTTACACTTAATTACGGCAATCCTTTCCGCTACTTGATAAGCCCAATCTGTACCTCTGATTGCGGAAAAATGTTTGTCGATTTTCGTGCTTTACTCAAGTAGTTTCTCTCCTTTGTCACTTCTCTGTTTTCGTGTCTGAGCCTGTCATCTCCCCGGAAAGACTGGGAGCCATCACTTATTTGAAAGTCTTCCATTTTAAACAATTGTGTGATATAATAAATGACGGTAGTTATCGCCTACATTATCGACATTTTAAACCAATCTTTAATTCAACGCGGCATTCTATTAGGCTCACTCGCGCGCAACACATTAGTAATATAAATAAATCGTACTTTTGTCATGAATTGAAGACTTTTTTTAGTTTACTTCTTACCTTGTTTCTGTTGAGGTTGACTGTAGAAGTTTTCTAACTGCGGTGCCCCCGCATAATAGTCCAATCTGAATGTACACATAAATAAATACAAATAAATTATCCTGCGTAACGATATTTGAGTTTTTTACATTATTTACCAGTGTTTCTCAACGTGAGGCCCACACCTCACCTTGGGCCAATTGATTGTTAATTGCTATTCAAAAATTACTTGAAATTTGAATTTCAGTTTTTAATTTTGTTTTCAAAATTTACATACAGTGTTTCCTGTAATTTATGTTGCTTAAGTAAACAATTAAATTTTTTAATATTATGTTACATAAGAATTTTAGAAAGGCTTAGGTGGGGCTACGGACAAGGTCGGGAAACACTGTTCTATACGAAATTGACGCTACGGTGTTATTAACTTACATGGATATTACCAATAGATTTCGTTGTAAGGCAATACGGAATCTATGTATGCAGTACACGGCAGTCGAAATTATAAAATGTCTTACGGGTTTATTTGTTGATATTGCTCCTGAGTGTAGTAACCAGATGGCACCGGTGGAGCAGCAACTGCTGCGCTAATTATCCCGATTAAGTACTGAAAATAAAGAATTAATATACAGTAGAACCTCGTTAAGTCGAACCTCGATAAGTCAAAAACCTCCAAATCTCGAAAAAATGTTTGTTCCCTTCCTTAAAACACCAAAACCTCCATTACTTGAAATCTTGACCCTGTTAATCGAATAGTCACCGAGTCCCTCCAAGCCATTGGTACATATTTTCACTCTATAACTCGAAAAATTAAATTTGTAAGTATCTCGAACATAGGAACGTTTTATTTTACAACCTTTACAACTTGATCATTTGGAATTTATTATCTCTATTGTTCGAACAAAAATAAGTTACCGACTTTAAGAACTTGCCGCCAATGTGAGTACACTATTGTTTCTTAGAAAACATTTTAGAGTATACAATAAATTTATGACTCATGGAAACACGTGTCTGCTTGCTTTGTGTCAGGTGTTCAATTTATAAGAATAAAACCTCAAACTCTTTATGTCGAATCATAATCCGCTAAGTGAAATCCTTTTAGTTGAAAACTCTATAACTCGATTTTTTGGCGTCTCCCTTGATGTTCGACTTATAGAGGTTCTACTGTATTAAAATTGAATTTTCACGCGTAACTACATAAAACGGTAATTTATGAAAAACTATCTGTTATAAATGCTTAATAAATCTTGAAATCAAGGGCTTAAAATAAATTTAACCTCTCCTGACGCAGCAAACTCAAATAAAACCTACTACACTAGCTTTTATATATTAGCTTTATATTTATAGCTATAATAGCTTTTTATATATTATTCTACTGTACGTTTGTATGTCAGTGAACTTCTCTTAAACCGCTGGACCGATTTGAATTAAATTTTTTGTATGCGTTGAGCCCCAGATGGTTTAGATTCATAAATCAGCCCGGCATATGGCGCTGTGGTACTTTCATACTTTGTTTAATCCGCTTAAAATATCATGCTGGACTACATATTGTGTCAGGCCCGCTAGTATTACACCTAATATTATATTTTTTAAAGGCAGTTTTTGCCACGCACCACCGCTAATCGAACCAGCTGCCCACTGAAGTATTTCCGAACCAATTTGACTTAGGTTCCTTCAAGAAAAGAGACGAACAATTCTTGAAAAGCCAGCAACTCGCGAGCCTTCTGTCGATGTCCTCATGAGTGTCCATGGGTGGCGGTATTACTTAACATCAGGTGAGCCTTCTGCCCGTTAGACTTAAAAAAAATACTTTATTAGGAACTAGGATTGTCTATTAAATATAGACAATTTTGTCACATTTACCCACGACATTTTTAAACCTTCAATTCTAACGCCCCCATTGGCTTCATCTAATTATAATTCAAGAAGTTGACCATCCTTCAGTCGTACGTGAGGCCATAAGGTTATGTAAGTGTTAAGTATAGCGCGAATTTTGATTTGATTAGGTAAAATAGAGCAGATAGTAAATCTTAAAATCTTTAATTAAGACTTTTGGGGTCTAACGCCTTTAGTACACCTACGCGTTCGTATGCGGCTGCGAATCTTTGCGAAATAATTGCGGTGGCGAAATATCTGCGGAACGTTAGTACACTGCAGGTTTTTCGCAAGGATATGTCATTGTAGCTTTCGTGTGCTGTAGGTGCAGACGTCGTTTCAGAATGTCATCTGAGTCGTCCCAGTCGTCGCTTTCAGATTCTGAAGAGGATTTTGTAATCAACATGCCCAACTAAATATAATTCGGGATAATTTCGAATCAAATTCAATAATAATTCAATATTTTCGGCTTCCATTGTGCGAAATTCTGTCCTCACTGACAGAACTCGTGGTGACGCCTTGAAATGCGAAACTCCAGTAGCGAAACGTCATTTCGCAGTTACTTGCGAAACAATACCGACAAGGACGCAACTATTTCATCTAGCTATATATTAGAGCGAGACAAAACACATGCGAAACGTTGCCATACAACTTACAGTTTTTTCGTCGTTTCGGTGCCGCATGCGATTGCATAGGTGTACTAAAGGCGTAAGACATGTCTCGGTTTCGCGATGCTTTCCTTCACCGTTCGAGCAAATGTTAAATGCGCACATAGAAAGAAAACCCATTGGTGCATAGCCGGGGATCGAACCTACGACCTCATGGGCGAGAGTCGCACGCTGAAGCCACTTGGCCAACACTGCCTTTTACATTATATATAAATAGCACAGCCCTTAGATGCATTATCAGTAATATCAATCGATGATACAATAAATTACCATTCTACGTAACTTCAGTATGTATTTGCAATAATTAATTTGTTTTTCTCATTCCAAGGGCTTACAACGATGGAAGTAAGGTTTTAAGTAAACAAAACAAAGTTTGCTTAGTGAACACGGAGTGTTTTGTTTTTTTTTCAGTATAAGGTACAGAAGATTTATAAGAGAGTATGGAATTCTAATATGAAGTTAAGATATTGCAGAGAAATATTTTATATATTTAATATAAGTGGTAAAACAGCATGTATCTATACTTAAAATATAGAAGAATATTTTACACACATACACATGAATAATATTAGTACATACAAAATCAAACACAAGCAAACAGCAAACAATAAATAAAACTAAATAGAAACTTAAACGTCATTAAAAGTATGATACACAAATTTACTGTAAGTTGGAAGATTGTTGTAAAATATATCAATATTTTCAATATCTATTGTTACTAATAAAATTGTAAAATCAAGATAGCCTATTCACTGGAGCATTAAAGCAGCAGATTTGATTGATTGATAATAATTTGATTTGTATGCAACACGATTTATATCATAGATTAAAAAAATTATTAAAATATTTAAAATCTGATATTAAATTGAAATAAATGCCCATAGATGGCATATTTAAATTCTACATATATTATATACAAGAAAAAATCTACATACTTATATTCAAATTCAAAATAATTTATTAATTTAGGTAGCACAATGTACAGTTATGAATGTCAATAAAGAAATATGTACATATTAAATGATTCTAATTTTACATTTACTGTCAGTTCTCTAATCAATTCTCTAAGAAGAGAAGAACTGGCAATAAGCTCTCCGCCACTCTTTTTAATCGCCATTTTTTTTGTTTAATAAATGTTTGTAAGGAGCTGCAACCATTACACCATGTTCCACATGACATCTTTAAGTAATTAATAGTTTATTAATAATAAGAAAAAAACCAATGAAAAACAAAGATTTCTCTTCTATCAGCAGCAGGCATGGTGAAATAGGAGAACGCACATATATTCTTGTGGGCACAACGAATACTAAAAAAGGTTACTAATATCCAGAAAGCATTAAAGAAGTAGAAAACCTGCTAATAGAGAAAGATCTACTACTGTGAAACATGTGATTGTTACCAGTTTCCAGTAAATGAATATTTAATTTATTTTTCGCTCTGTCATTTTGACCTTGACCTTGCTATGTGTCAACGCTCGTAAACATGAGTGAGGAAGTTTTGGTTCTTCTCACTTACATTATTTTCATACTTGAATTTAAGTATACCCAATGGAATTGTATTCAAAGACGTTCGTTAAATTATATCTAACTATTGATTAATAACTAAACATTGCAATTCAAAATCGGAACAATTCTTAAAAGGCCGGCAACGCACTTGCGAGCCTTCTGGGAATGTTAGTGTCCAAGGACATAACATCTGATGAGTCTCCTGCCTTGCCTCTGGTTAGCATGATGCGTGGTGAATGGTGAAAGAGAAGAGAGAGGTATTCCAGAACCGTAGCAAGTGGAGATATGTGGTCTCTGTTTACCTTCGGGAATAAGGCGTGAAGTTATACATAAACTATTTTAAAACTTGGAAAACGCTGAAGCCTTAACAAGAAGGAGTCAAACAGGTACCATTTGTAAACACTATTTTGACCGGATTGAAGTTATGTATTATTATAAATTTACAACTATTTAACATAATTTTAAATTTATCCGACGTTTCGCGTGCTTTACAGCGTGCGTGGTCACGGTGACTGAAGTCAAAAATAGTGTTTTATTAAATGAATAAAAGTTATGTTAATCAAAGACAATACTATCTTGAGATATATTTGTTGTTATCAATACTAATGTTATCACTCCACACTAACACACTACCAGACCACGGAAGGCAGGACGAGTTGCTAGTCCTATGTAAAGTTGAATGTACGAATAATGTCGTCTAAGATCCGAGTTCAAAAAAGTATAATACCACCGTTAGTCGCGTGTTAAATTGCACATTATGTTAAACAAACACAGACTCCGAACAAAAGAAGTCATGAACTATATAAATTCGTTCTACAAAAATTTTAAATTTATTTATGAGTCCGAAAACAACATGCTTAAAATATGCAAGATAATATGACTTCACAAATTTCATGCATATCTAATAATAAATAAAATTCTCGAGTCACAATGTTCGTTCCCATACTCCTCCGAAACGGCTCGACCGATGTTTATGGATTTTTTATACATACTTCGTAAGTCTGAGAATCGGCTACTATCTATCTTTCAAACCCCTAAATGATATGGGGTGTGCAACCCAAAAAAAAATATTTTTTTATGATTACAAAAATACATACAATCCTTAATTTTCACCCTCCCACGTCAACCTATATTTTTTATTATTGTAGATAGTTATTTTTATTGAACTAAGAAATAATATATGTACATGGCAAAACAATCGTTTGCCGGGTCAGCTAGTCAATTATATAAATTTCAAACATACACAAATATACAAGCTACCTGTTGACCTTTGGTTGTAGAATATTGTATTTTACTAGGATAAGTCAGGCCGACTTACCCTAGTTATATACACGCGAAAAAGAATATATTTTGTTCATCACGTTGGATGTTATCTAGAAGGAATACTTTCATTCTTTCTCTCGCTAAGTAATAAAAATTCAATAAGATTCTTAACTGAATAACTATTTTGTAATTTTCCGTTAATTTTTATATTAAACAGAATCAGGGCTTGTGTAACTGGACTGATAAAGTTTAATAAAGTCACTTCTCCGTCACTCAGATGTTTTAAACACAGAACTAAATGTTAATCAAAGTAAATCAAACATAGTTTGAAATGTCCTATAAGATCTCAGAGGGCGTCCACGCCATTGCGTTCGGCCTAATATTTCACCTCGCTCCAAGTCTTTCCAGCTCTCTTTGCCTGATCTGCAACTGTACCACGCCATGCTTTCTTGGGATGGCCACACGTCCGCTTTCCTTGCGAGTTCCAATCAAGCACCTTCTTGGGGATTTAATTGAAATCTCTTTGGAGTGTATGAGCTATCCATTTCCACTTGTAATAGACTTTACTTATTATTAAAAAAGCAACTGTCCAACGTGTTGATACTTTAACCCTTCCTCTAACAAAGTCGCTCGAGTCTCGTGATATAAGCCATCAATGTATTCAATTAAGGCATTTTATATTTCCTAAGCGTAGTTTTAAGTAACTTCCATACAAAATGAGGCCATTGAGCAGTAACGATGCGAATCCCCGCAGATATGTCAACTGTAATTATAGCATTATAGTTGCGTTGTTGTGATGCAATCGCTTCTACGGTTGTTGGTCTTGAGAAAACGCGTAAGTCGAATACATAGTATTAATTTTACTTATTAAAATATATATATATATGAGATTTTTAACTGAAGGACACTTTTGTAATTTTCTATCAAATCGTATATATAGAGAGAATTAGATTATTAAAAAAATTGTGTAACTGAACTGTTTAATTTTATATTAATAGGTTTCTATACAACAAAGTCGAAGTGACTTTGTTTTCATATCCCGTCATTCAGATCTTTAAACTTAAGAGAAATTAAGAATATCCATAGCGCTAAATAAGCACACATACAAAACGAAATATTAAAGACATTCCGAAATATATGGGAATGAGATGCGCTCCATTGGAAAGGTATAGAGGTGACAAAACGAGATTTATGCCTTATGACGCGAAATAACTCCCCTATGTCAAAACCCATAACATTATTGTCGTACGTCAGTCAGACTTAGTGTTCCGTCTCGTTTCTGGAACATACTTTAAGAGGTGAATATGTCTTCTAGTCGAGCACTTTTTTCAAAATGACTTAAAAAGAAGAGTTCAGCATGATGACCCGAGCGGTATCACAAGTTCGGCTCCGTACATCGAGAGCAAACAACGTATATGGCGATAGAACGTTAAGGTATTTGATCTGCGGCTAATAAATGGACTACCCAGTCAGTTATTAGACAACCTAACGTTAACCAATATAAAAGTAATTGACAAACCACAGCGGTATTCTAAGTTATAATATAAATAAATAAAAAAGG